GGCTTTGAGCAGCCAGGCCTAGTGGAATGTAACCCTGCCCATGGCAGGGGGTTGGAACAAGATGATATTAAAGTTCTTTCCACCCCAAACCATTCTGAGATTCTATGAAAATGTGTGCAAAACGTGGATTTTTCCATGACTATATACCAGCAATTGCCTCTCACTCTTTTCTTGGGGCAAGAAGTACTGCAGATTAATTCCATATATAGCATTGTCTTCATACATTTTCCTCATTTTCTGATTATGCGCATTCTTTCCTAAGGTACAAAAAAATGAAGTGTTCTTCTGTTATCATACATTATTTTTAAAAGTCAAAGTCTTCCCGGTTACTCCTACCAGTCAGCTTTTCCAGTGAATATTTATACACACATAAAAGAACACCCAAGTAATCATGTCAGCATTTCCTCTCTCGGCATCTTGACTCTATGCTGTTCTGGAAGGTACGAAGAGAATCAATTAACTATACAAAAACTGTAGGACACTACAACCTAGATCAACTGGATCATGATATTTTTTGGGATTTTTGCCTGCCATTCCACATATATAACATATTTTAGGGAATTGTGCAAGTAATACTAATGCTTCTTCACCTCAGAAAGAGATTATTTATTTATAATTGGTTAGGGCAAGTTTTTCAGTGGTTAATGTACATTTTCCCAACCAACACCCTCCCTGTTAATATATTTTGCAAAATGAATCAATTGATGTGTAAATTTCAGCACCTCACTATTGAGGTATTTACCATGTAGTCAGCTACACTAACATTACCATTTTCCATTTTATCAAGAGAGCACAACAGAGTGCAAGGTACTGCAAGGTTTTATAAAAGTATTCCTTCATAAGTAAAATATACTCAGGCTTCATCCAGTTCCTCATCAAAGCATAAAGCATTAAGCTCATATGTTGCAAGGCTACGAAAATCCCCAAGTATGCGCTTCTTAGTTTCCAGACTCCTTAGAAACTAAGGAGAAATCAAACTGAGTTAAATCATCACAAATTCATGAGCAAAAACGTTGTCTGCGTGGATATACAAAACAAAAGTGGTTGAAATCCAGGAATAGATACCTGAAAAGCAACCCACTTTTAAAAAATATTTATAAAGCTGCACAACTACTGAAACACCTGTTACAAAGCAGTAATTGTAAAGATATTACAATAACTGAAAAATAAAAACCCAGCCTGGTTTTACACACTTGTCAGCTCCAGTTAGCTGCACTCATTCCTTGGAACAGTTTTTACCCTGTGCCATTCTTTGGAATCTCTGTTCTACAAAACAAGAGGGAAAATCACATATCATGACAGAAGTACGCAGAAGTCAGCACTCTTAATAAAAAGTCTCAAAGCTGGTTTGGTGGAGAGATTTAATAAATGCTTTGTTTTACAAATATCATGGCTCATTCATAGGCCTGCAACAGACGAATACACAACTGATTCATGAGCTTGTATCAGTTACACATCAATTATGCTTATGTCTGCAGTACACAACAAAACTCCTTTGTCTGACCTGTCAAAAATAAAGATTTTTTTAAGTCTTTTTAATAGGTCTTGTCTGGGAAATGTAAAATGACAGCACAAACTGATGGTAAAAAAAAAAGTGAGAAAAAAAAAAAAGGTTGTAAAGTAACATATTAAGAGTCTATTTGGAGGTTTTCCAAACAATAAATTCCTATAAACATTCCAATTGTTGCCTAGGACTTATCCACTTATCTATTCACGTCGATCTAACTGAGTTCACACCCTCTTTCAAGCCCTAGCCAGCAGGTAATAATGCTGTGAGTAATCTTTGCAGCACATGGTAAATCCCATGTTGATAAAGAAACTTCAGCCTTGACCTTTGCAACAGAGAGAACAGGTAACCACATAATGCAAACAAAAAAGTCACAAGTCATGCTAATAATACTATTCATTTACAGTGAATCCCTGGAGGTTCACACATCCTGGAGAGGGGAGATTTTGATTTGAAGAGGTCATTTGGGGAAATATGTGACAAAACTCCAGGCTCTGTAACAAATAATTTTGTAAAAGCAACTAAATGTCGACCATTTCCACACAAACAGTCAAACCTGCCCTCAGTAGCCCAAGGTTGGTAAAAAATCCTACCCAGCCCAGAGGTTGTCTAATAGATTGAAAAATCGATCTTTTGTACATGATCAGATTATTGAAACCTGCACAGTAATACTAAGAATTGCTCAATATAACAACTGCATTTCTCCAGCTCAGGAAAGGTCATTTGTTGGTTAAGGAATAACCAACAGGAGGATGCTACATTTCTGAAGTCATATGAAAATAGACTTCTCTTTTTAAGAGCATGTGTTCTACATGCATTTATTAATCCTCATGTCTCTAGAGAAATGTGTAAATAATATATTCAGTGTATGCAAACTGAAGGAGGAAGAGGGGTCAGCCAATTATCACCTGGATTTCAAAGCATTCCTTAATTTTTAATTCAATATTACAGAAAAAAGGAGCTAGAGATGCTCTTTTTCTGAAGCAGCATCTTTTTCTGTTTCAGTGGCAACTGCATCAACACAATTTGCTATCTCCGAAGGTCAGGTCATACACACGCTTCAAGTTGGGTATCTCTCAACATATGAGATACATAAACAGAGTGGCCATTTCTGACTTCTGCACGAATTCATTCCCAGGTCCCATAGGAAAGCAGAAGGAGAGGTAGGTGTATCACTTGGGAACTTCAAATCCTGCTTCTCCTCTGAGAGGCAACTGAAACCAGTAAATCAGGTATTTGCCATTTTAACTGATCAGACTGGCAGACACATCATGTAGATCTCTGGCCTGAGAAGACCACCTCAGGGAAACAAATATGCATAACTCAAATTCAGCCATTAAATGATTTATTTAACCTACCCAGCTCCCAGACTTGATTTCTACCAGAAAGGATGAAAATGGGAAAAATTTCCAAAAGTCATCGGTTGTTTTTCCAAATGTCACTCTCTGACAGAGCAAGGCTGAGTCATGAAAAGCAAGGCTGTGACAGCACAGATTCTTGTTTCTAACATTCTTTTCCCAGTTCCTAAATTGACTCTGGCATCTTAATGAGAAATGCAGCAAAACTTTTAAGATTTTCAAGCTTACCCTGCTTTGCAAGCATCTAAAGAGTGTATTTGGAATATTATTGACTTTTCTCTGTTTTATTAAAAGCACTCCAGGTTTGCCAGAATTCTTTCAGCTCACTTTTGACACTAGACAAGTCTGAAATCAAAGTGAATGATTTCATAGCACAATGCAAAGTTGTTGACAGTGGATTTGGAAACAAAAGAAAAACCTGAGCATAAATTAAGCACCAAACTTAGAAGAACTGCAACTAAAACTAACCTTTTCCTTGAGCTCATATTTTAAGATTCCTCTGATGGAACACCAGAAGCCAAGACAAGCCCCTCTCAAGGGTGTTACATGTTAGATAGGACCCTGTTCCAAATCCTTACTACTCCAATTATGTTTTTGCATTATGCTGCCTCACTGTTTGCAGCAAACCTTTAGTGTACTTAATGGGCCTTCACTTTTCCCTCTTCTGTTAGATCACCCCATATAAATTTACTGTGCTTCCTGCTTAGATTAGCAATGGGTATTTGTGGATATGCAAATGAAGCATTCTTTGGTCTGGCATGCTGGTTTCTCACACTAGGCTCACCATCTTGTCTGGGACATCAGCACAATTGCCAACTGATTCCTCCCTTGCCAAGGGGCACGATTTGCATGACGTATTCTCTCATGACTGCAGCATGAACAATTTTTAAACACATATTAGGGAGTACAAGCCATGCAGCATTTGATTGGTTACCATGTTTTAGAGAAACTATGAAAAACATTCTCAATACAGCTCAGGCTTCTGAGAACCTCAATTTCCTGACATTTTTAGCAGTTCTAAAGACTCAAATCAACATAGGTATTTGGCAGCTAAACAATACATGTGTTCCTGGAGGAGGCAGCTACCGACACAAACAAAACCACCCCAACCACACACAGCCTGTTTGATTTTAAGTAACTTATTAAAGCTCCAGTCCCACTGTCTGTGGTAAGTCTTTCAGCCAACAACAACAGAAAGTACATATTGCACCTCATGACCTCTTTGTTTTTCCATTTACTGTCGCTTGCGTTTGAGAAGTTTAAATTATCAGAGACCAGGTAAAGAATGCTTCTACTGACCACTGACATACAGTTCAGCTTTAAACGAAAAAGCTACAATATGTTGCATTTAAACAAAGCTCTTCTGTGTGTTTAACTGAATTTTTCTCATTTCTGACACCCTTAAGACCACCTCCTTGATTTCCTCCCCCCAGAAAGCAGATCACAATTGACTGTAGATGTCCAGTAACAGGTTCTGCCTTTTCCTGCAGCCCTATTATTTTGTTTCATGCATGCATTTTTTCATTTCCTCGTCTTGCAAACAAGCAATAAATTCAGTAGTCACATCCTTAACCTGATCAATTATTACAGGACTTATCAGTTTCACAGTAGTTTAACAAACTGGTGCCAGTTCTGACCGAAATTGCTCCCTACCCTCAGCCACCTTTCCAAGTATTTTTGATGCATGCAATGCCTGTTAAGATACTACTAGAGCTACACCTCCCCAGCACGTTCCCATTCCCCTTCTTACACAATGAATACAAACCCAGTATGAGAAAATAATTGTGAAAATTAATTTCATTCCAAAATTTCAAACTGTGCTCTGCTCAAATTCTTTTGCAGATTTAAATTTCTCTTGTTCCATAATAGCATGTGAGAATAAATGAAACAGTTCACAGACCCATTAATTGCTAACACATTGTTTAGTGCAGGAAGCAAATGCAGTAAGCATTAAGTTTTCAAAGCATCCTCCCAGTGGTAAAATCAGCCTTCTTTTATAGATGATGGCAATTACATTGCAGAAAGAATACATATTAGTTTTTAAACTGAAAGCCCTCTATCAAGGCCTACATTTCCTTGTTGTTAGACTTATATTTGATTTATGAAACCTGACCTTCCTCATTCAAAAATCTTACCTGGTATCTCCTTTTGAAAGGTTGGTGTTTACAGGATGAAGAATAACCTTGTTTGCATCCACATCCACCACACATTTTGTATGCAGATCAAGCTCTATAAAGAAATGAGAAAGTGTCAAGTGCTGCTCCTAAAGCACTAGGATTACATACACCATTACTTCCTCCAGACACCAAATTTATTCATGCAGTCTGACAGCCACCCATCAGCTAGAGAATAGAAACAGGACTATTGCCAAATTCTGCTTCTAGAGATATTCTGATGGGATGGATCCTGTCCAGCTTTAAAGCGTGCACTCCTTTCAAAACAAGAAAGAACACTTTGGTTTTACTGAAGTACAATCAGCATATACAAGGCAGTATGAAATTTCTTCTGGGGAAAAGAACCATTAGGCATGGCACCACTTTGACAGCTCTTCTTATTGCTCCCTCAATGCCTTACACACTCAGAGGGAAAGCTGCCCCTACCATCTGCAGCACATTTTCCCCAGCCACTGTTGTGATACTGCAGCGTGCCATGCCAGCTGTCAGTCCTGGGGCACCTGCTTGGAGAAATTCAAGTCCCATCAAAAATAATTTAGGTACAAGCACATAGAAAAGGGCTTATCCTTCCCCACAGGCTCCCAGCCAGCGGAAAAGCCCAACTTCTCCCCATGACACTAAGCAATGGGATATATGCTATGAGTAATAAGAATATTTGGAATGTATGAGAATTCTCAGCCATAGAGGTGGGGAAAACAAAAGCTTCAGATAACACTGACAACCATCCAAGGTATCCACCCAATGACAAATGGAGTTAGATATAAAAAAAAGCACACAGCCGCATGCAGTCCAAGTCACTGCCTACAGACATAGGGGCCTGGACACAAACAGATCCAGACCTATGTCCTTACACTCTGATGCTGAAAGTGCACCCAAGTGCCGATACCTATAAACATGACACACTAATCACACCCAGCAGGCACTCTACACCGCCCTCACACGCCATGATGATGAGGGACTACGCTGAAAAACCTCCATATGAGGTGCAGCACCTCAGCTGAATCACCAGAATATCCTGGCTAAGCAGGTTAATGACAATCCTCATCCTCCTTCATCTCTGTTCTTTCTTTCTCTGTCACCTGTACTTGCTCTTTCACCTTACAGCACCTTATAAACTCAGACTGAAAATCTCTCAGGCAAATACCACAGATCTTAATTATTGCACAGCACCTTGCAGACTTCTTGCTACTGTTAAATAACATGATAAGAGGAGATTTCATTCACTGATCTTTTTTGGAAAGAAGAGCCAAAGCTCAAGACTGTTAACGGCTGGACTTGATGACCTTTTGCAACCTGAATGATTATATGATTCCCGGTCATAGCAGGCAGTCACATGAAACTGAAATCCTTCTGAACAAAACCACTCCTCTGTTATTAAACTGTGCTTTTGTAGAAGGAAGAGGCAGACAAGTTTCAGAAACCAGTGTTTATTTTAATTTATCTCCACACCCTGAAAGCAAATTTACCTACCATTAATATGCAATACATGCTTGCTCAGATGAAATTATATTCTTCATACATCCCATATCCAACAAGTTACTTTATCTTGGTCTGGCTGGTTAGTGATTACCATTCTGTATTGCAGTGACCTGCTTTTCCTCAGCTACTAAAGGTTTTTACATGCTACCTCCCTTATGCAAAGCATAAGGTATGTGCACTCTATATAAGCAGTGTGGTCTCTATCATGTTTTTCAATCTATCTCTTGAAAGAGAATGCTGCTGGCAGGTTTCACGTCTATGACTGCCCAGTGAACTCAATCTAGTATTCACTAAACCTCTGTCTGTGAAGTACCTCTAAAGAAAGTACACAGACAGGATATAATAGTTCCTTAAAGTCTTACGTCCTCACAGAAAAAAAAAAAAAAAAAAAAAAGATTCAAAGCCAATTTATCATGTACAACACACCTTCTCTGACTATTGTCATCACAAAGGCGAGGTTAACATCCCTCACCTAGGCATCCTGCAAACAGCACAGTTTCGGAAGACATGGTGAGCCAACCAACAGGTATTACCAACAGGGAAGTCTCAGTCCTTCCTTCTGGCTACCTCTGCCTGTTGCCCACCTTCCACTATACCGTGCTCAGCAGACTCCTCTGTAAGTCACATCAAGTCACTTCAACAGCAGAAAACTAACCAACATGAAAAATGGATGTATTTAGAAACTATGGAAAGCTACATCAGCACAATAAAAGTTCCGAACACCATCAAAGACCATGCAAACAAGTGGGTAAGCCTGTACGGAGGTGAAGATAGGAGGCAGAAGAGTGAGACCTTCTCCCAGCAGAGACCAACTGCTACATCAGCTCATGGTGTCCCATGAAATAAACCCTTAAGAAACATATATATTCAGCCTCTAAGCAGGGTTATATATCCTGCCAGTCTTATAGCTACTTATCCCAGTTACCTTGGCAAAAGACTTACATAGAAACTGTCTTTTTAGCTAAAGAATTAGTTTAAATTCTGTTTTAATAACACATGGTACAATTTCTACAAATTCTGGTTCCATTACAAAGCACATTCTTTGACCAATTTGAACTGAAAGAGGGGAAGATTTAGATTAGATATGAGAAAGAAGTTGCTCCCTGTGAGCATGGTGAGGCCCTGGCACAGGTTGCCCAGAGAAGCTGTGGGTGCCCCATTCCTGGCAGTGTTCAAGGCCAGGTTGGACAGGGCTTTGACCAACCTGGTCTAATGGAAGATGGCAGGAGGGATGGAAATAGATGATCTTTAAGGTCCTGTCCCCAAACCATTACGTAATTTGTGATTTCTGATTTCTTTAATGCTTGCGGTAGGTTGAGTGATGAATCTTACAATTTTCAGTAGTGGCTAATATATCATGATAATTTCTACCTCACTAAGTTTTTAATATTACTAAAGCAGGTTAGCCTTATAGAAAAATTATCTTCCTGCTCTTTTGAATACGACCACAGAAGAACTCCACCCTTACTTTTACTAGTTTCAGTGTCTCCTATGTAAGCCCCTGAACAACAAGCAGAATGAGCATGCAGCAAGATAAGATGCTAAGCGTGCACATCCAAAACACCAAGTAGTTCATCTAGCAGTAAGGACTCACTGGTCGAGGCCTAGTATTGTTATTTCCTTCACCTATACCACCATTTTTTTTTCAGGTAGCATGAAATTTTGGACAAGTTAAAAGACAACAGAAGTGGCTCACTGTCAAACTCTGGAGATTTATCATAATCTTTGGGCTCAACAAGATTTACAATCTCACCTATTACTACTGCTAACCTGCTTCTACCTTCAGTCACTACCAAGAAAACACAATCAACTACTCATCCGCTTCATCAAATCAAGAAACTAATCAGTTAATTGCTTTTTGAAAAATTAAAACTCAAACTCTTAACACCTCAAGAAACATTTATTGTAGGGAATGAAAGCCTCTTTCATAGCTTTAGAGTAAGAGAGCTGTGACATCCATAATTAAAGGGTAACACGTATCTTAGTCACTTTTCCACATTTACATTTCAGAGCTGTAGAAATGTTAAACAAAGCTGGTCTGAGTGCAAGAATAATTAAGTCACGTGCATCCAAGCTACTCACAGAGAGTCTCTCAGATGAATCACAGAATAGTTTGAGTTGGAAGGAAACTTAAAGCTCATCCAGTTCCAACCCCCTGCCATGGGCAGGGACACCTTCC